ATTGGCTTTGAGAATGCAGAAGAAATTCAGCAGGATTTGCTTTAAATGTCAGAGAAGCATTAACAGACATCCATCAATCAAGCTGCACGAATCTTAAAGCTTGCTGGATGGATGGGATGATGAGAATTTTACTAGTTAGGAGAAGAAACTGGAGTGTTGTTTGAAGAGTTTCGGTCTGGAGATGAGACTTAAGGATTGGATTTTTTTTTTTCGTTTTGTTTTATTTTTTTTTAAGGATTTTTAGTGTTACCAAGGGTTGGTGCCTTATGTATCATATATAGATAAGGACATTAATTAATTTACATTGTAATTCTTGTTGCATTAGATCAAGAAAAGAAAAATACTGAAAGTAAAGAACGATAATCATATAGAGGGAATGAGAGTTTTGGATCCATAGAGTCTGTTTGGGGCAGCTGCAGCTGTTTGAAGAAGTAGTTGTGAAACTGCTGCATAAAAAATTGTTGTTCAAAAAACTACATAAGATATTATAATTTAAAAAAAAAAAAATCAAACCACAACTTTTTGGCAGCCCCCCACAGATAGACACAACGCTGCAGCTTTTTGGAAAACACAGACAAAACACAATTTTGTCAAATATAAAAAATTGCAATGCAACACCACATCGCAGCCTCGAACACTTTGATAGCCTTAAGCAAAGATATTTATATGCATGACTAGCTGCTTTTGAGCTGATTTGTCAAATCTACAATAAGGTTTGCTTTTCATACAAAATTTGAAGCATCGATCTAGCAGGAACATGATTTCTTTTATGTCAGACATTTGAGGTCTATTTGGATCAATTGATCGTTCTTCTGCAGTTTAAAATTACTTTTCAAATGTTCAAGAATAAAATGTCTCAAATTAAAATATTATATTTTAAATTAATGATAATATTATTATTATATTATTCAAACCTTACATTATCAAAATCAACTCCAACTGAGTCTGTTTGACATATTTTTTGTCTGTTTAGTGTTTCGAATCACTGCCAAAGTTTTATACTTTTCAAAAAATTTTATGGTTGGAAAGTATTTTTTTCTGATTTCAAACGAGCCGAACACGAGCCAAGACTGAGCTCGCTCAGGCTCGGCTCTTTTACTGGCCTACCTTACTCCTAAGAATCCACAACATTCGTAGAAATTTATTTGTCCGCCACAATTTTACAACCATCTTTTTAAAAAACGACAACAATACTAAACAAACCCTGAACCATCGAAATTTGAGTATCTATTTCTTCGATTTAATGTAGTAGAGAAGAAAAGAATTTTTTTGAAATTTGTATGAATATTATCAAAATTTTCGCTTAAAAAAATGTTGGTTATGAGCTTGCTTGATCCTAACTTATCTTATTGCAAACCATTAGGCTGAGATTTATAATCAACGCATAAATTATTTGATATTTTACTCATTTCCTTCACTTATATTGCATCCAAACTTGCCTCCTTAAACTTCAGACCTAAGCACCCTTTCAGAAATATAAAAACCATGTGGGCAGCAAGCTGAAAAGACAAAGCTATGATGACTATGATATATGTTTGGAAAATTTACATATCTACCATTCAATTCCTATTTATCATATAATCTAATACCTAAATTTCAATTTTTACATATATATCATTTTACCTATAAATGAAAAAGTGTACTTCACCTTTTAAAACTTAAAATTGTGTATGATAGATTTGGGTGGTATAAATGTTAAAAGCAAAGTTTAAATGTTTGATATAGAATTACATAGGAATTGGGTGGTAAATGCCACAATATGTTTTTGTTTGTTTTAATTTTCAATTTTAATTTTTTATTTCTCAGAAATTTGGTTCACCTTTTCATGAATGTAAGATGACTGTAAGCCCCAGTAGCTAAAAAGAAGCATGTGGGCTACATGATGGAGGATCTGCTGTCACACAAAAGTCAAATCTACAATTCTTCATTGCCACCACATCCATCACAAAGGCTCTATCTAAGCTATGATTGTGTCCGCAAGATGGAAACTGACCCACAGTTTCATCTAAAAAATATTAATCATAAGTCCTAACTGTAGAATAAGTTGAATGATTTAAATAAAAGAACAAGAAGAAAATATATTAGCTAAGAAGAAAGAAGAGCATAGAACAGATTTTACATGCAAGTCCTGCACTTTCAGTACTGAATTTTCACTTATTTGGTTGCAGATTGAAATTCTATTTTGGAAAATGATGATTTTGTGTTATATATTTGAGGGATTTGAAGGATATTTGTTTGATTTCTGACTACATCAGATGTTGGAACTGATAAAGTTTAGTGCTTTTCAAATTTGGTTTTCTAGCATCTACTAATCAAATGAAATCTTAGTGGCAAATGTAAATGCCTTAATTAATGCGCTCAGCCAATCCAGCAGAAGTTTGCTCTATATTCTTCAACAAAGGTTACTCTTTTTAATTATGAGAAAAAAATTTGACCAAGTTCGTTACTCTTTTTAATTCTGTAGTACTAACCAATATTTAATATTGAATTATATGTTGTTTGTTTTCCCCATGAATGTATGAGAGGATGTTCTTGACCAAATTACATAAATGCTAAAAGTCTTGTCTCAGAGTATGTTTAATTATTTTCATATCATACTAAACTGTGACCAAGCATTTGTTACGTTATGTGTGGATTGAAAAATCTAGAATTTAGATATCAGTTCAAAAGGACCAAAATCTAATTGCACAAGCAATAGGTCAAGTAACTCGGGTCAGTAGATGAGATAAGAGAATCAAACATACTGGCAAATCAATTTCCTAACATGGGATAAGTCTTAAGAAGTTTCCATCAACTTGAAATATTCTTCAACAATCTCGAAGAGATTCAAAATGAGAACATTTTTTGAGCTTTTGAAAAGTACAACATAGCATAAAAAAGGATCTATCCATGAACAACAGCTAACAGCCTAAAACTCTTTGAGGTTAAAGCAGTAAATAATGCAAGCACTTAAAAAGTGAAAGAATCTGCATCATTATTGTAAATCTACATGAATAAGCAGAAATGCAGAAAACATGATTATGGCTTACAGCCTTTTTTTCATATTCATATTAACGTCGCTTCGTCCCTGTTGATTGCTCCCATGCTCCTATGACATGGCTCACAATCTCCCCTACTCCAACTCCATGTTTCACCTGTACCAGAGACATCAGGGTTAAAAAAAGAAGTGATAAATTGCATGCTTAGCTGCAAATATTTGCAGTATGAAATAATCGAAAATCAACTAAAAAAGCAATTATATGAAAATGTTTTTTTTTCTCGGTTTAAAATGGAAAACCAGAAAAAAAAAAAAGCTTCCTCAGGATTAGCAGCAACATAACGGTAATTTTTATAATTAAAATATGACATCAATGAATACGTACATTTTTTTTTCTTTTCTTTGTGCAGGGTGGTGTCATTTATGCTTTTTCTGTGAGGGGGAATAGCCAAATATTCTTCTTCCCTTTAACATTATGCAAACCAATCTCAACCAATTTTAAAAGTTATAAGCTCTCTCTCTGGATTTAGATAGCAACCCTTAAAATTTCAAAAGAACCTAAGATCAAGGAAATGTGCGCCTTCTTGATAATTGCACAATCTGAGGTGAGCCCCTCAAGAGTATGAGTTGCGTTTAAAATTGCATAATATGAGTGTGCTTTGAGCCCAGCCTCAACAGTTTTTATAAAATCGCGATGAGACTTTCGCCTCATTGTCTCAGCGTAACGCATACCTCATCCTAGCTGAAGTGTGCCCTCTCCTCAAAAAACAACTCAATTTTTTTCTTTTTTAAAAGACATTTCAAAACTTTAGGCTAGGAGGAAGGAAAACCTTGAGCAAATGGAAGACAACTTACAGAGACAAACTTGCTCCAACAAAAACTCAGTCGACATTCACCTAAAATTTTGGGTGGTGAGGAGTCTAGTACTCATGAGTTATCGCCTTCCTCTTATGATGAGATACCCAATTTAGGAGTATGTAACTTATGAAAAGCTATACTCAGCCTATAGAGTGTTTATATCTAATTTTGAGAAAATGCAAATTCCTAAATTCATTCATGAAGCTCTTCAAAAATCTAAAATGGAGAAAAGCAATGGAAGAAGAGATTCAAAAACTAAAGCATAATAAGACATGGACTCTTAGTAAAATTCCTCATTGAATATAAATGAGTATTCAATATAAAATACAAAGTTGATGAGACTGCTGGGACAAAGTTAGATTTGTTGCTAAAGGTTTCACACATACATATGAATTGACTATCAGGAGGCCTTCACACTAGTTGCCAAAAAAATACTATTAAGTTCTTCTCTCAGTAGCAGTTAACAAGAAATGGGCACTACATCTACTTAACATAAAAAAAATGTCTTTTGAATGGGGATCTAGAGGAAGAAGTCTACATGGAAATACCAGTAGGAATAAAGAATGATCCCAACAAATATCTTGTGTGTAAACCCAGAAAGTCTCTCTATGGGCATAAACAATCACCAAAGACGTGGTTTGAATGGTTTGTTAAAATTGAAATCCAATGGATATTCTCAAAATCAAGCTGATCATACATTGTTCATAAAACAAATTCAGGGAGACAAGACGTCACACCCAACTGTTGACCTCATTTTTAGTGAGGTCTTGGTCTTCCATTCAGGGAGACAAGACGTCACACCCAACCTGGGACTTGAAATTAACCAAGGTGAAAAATTAAAAATTTTCTATATTTATTTTATATAACTAACATTTAACAAATGAAAGAGCCATAAAAATATTAATTAAAGCAATATAGTTAAATTTTAACTCATTTCTAGTAGTCCCCATCATATAGAAACATCTTCTCATCTATCTCTCATTTATCAATTAATTAAACCTACAAAGTTAGTTACAAAAACAATAAACTAAACAAAGCTACTGAATGTTTGTACTCCTAAATTATAGTAATTCAATGAAAAAAGAGACAATATACGACAATGGTAGACTAGTCGGTCAGACTAAATTCTCAAGAGCAATTACCTTAACTTGCATAATTAAACAAGAGCAATTATCTTAACTTGCATAATTAAAACCAGCTTGATGATGAACTAGTCAAACTAAATCACCGCAAAAGCACATTATACATTTCATTTCATAATTCATTAAACAGCATAAAAAAAAATAAGAATATTTGACGGTTTGTACTATCTAATATAATCATTCAATGTGATTTTAAACTTTCATTATATCTTATTTTATCATTTAAATATCAATAACTTTTAATTTGTATACATCTGGCACATGAGCTCTAAAAATTATACAATTTAAGGTACTTTAATATCAACATCATTTTCAATTTACGTGCACGAGTGCCTTAATGTTCTTTCGCTAATACCATAAAAGAGTAACTCCATCATAATCAAACATGCATATACAACCATCAAAATAATAAATCTTATTCTTATTTTCTTTAATATAATTAAATAACTTGAATTATGCATTTAAATAATAATCAAATATCAAGTGACATACATTCAATATGATCAACTATACTTAAAAAGCCAGTAAAATATATCTAAGCAAGTCATAAAGCGAATCAGACTTAGAAGAAACAAAGTATTACTATAATTTAAGAGTATATGTACTCACCCTACTTTCAAATTATTGAGTAAGAAAAACAATGATGCCACACGTGAGGCTCCTTCTTGATGTTGTGTTTCCTCCTCGCACGCGATACAACATATAATAGGCTTCAAATGATGGTGCTGGGTATGAGACTCCTTGACGAGGCCGCCAATTAGGTTAAGAAACGACCACTCCTTTCTCTTTATTTTAACAATAACCCTAATAATAACAATGCTAGAAAAAAAGACCAGTCACCTATGAGCATTGGAATTCTCCAGGCCCAACAGTTCTCATCGACTCCATCAATCCTCGCATTCTATGATGATGCACAACCCCATGCGGCACATACCGATCGAGAAACTCCTCATCCACCACCCTCCCACCACCGCTGCCCTCGCTTCCATCTAACGGACATACTGATCTTGTTGGGATCCATCTGAACGCGTCCCCCTTCGCAAATGGAACTCCTGAGCATCACGCTATAGAAGCACGGGAACCACCCGCCTCGGCCACCAACACCGTGTGCATCGATCCTGCGAGAAGTCGCTGTCGAAATGGGTCTCGCAGGAGCGGAGAGGAGGCTTGGAACAAGGATTCCAGGGGAGGAGACGAAAGGCAAGGGAGGAAAGAAATTCAAACGCGAGAGATAGGCGAGGGAGGACTCGGAGAGAAGTAGGCCTCGCGAGATTGATCAAGTTAGGGCTTGAGATCAGCGAGGTAGGAGTCGGAGAGAATAAGGGCACCGGAGGAAATTTCACCCGAACGCGAAATGAAGACGCAGGGTCAATCCCGCGTCCGGACCTATTAAGGATTCCCAAACGTTGTTTCGGGATAAGCCGCCCGAACGTGGGCCGTTTTCAAAACGCCGCCCGCACCAATAAGTTGCCCCAAACATACCCTAAATCAAATTCCTATGCCTTCCCCTCCTACCCAAAACCCTCACAAAGCCACGACTTGAACTTGCTAGAAAGGCATCGATGGGATCACAATGCAAGAAAGAGAAGACCATTCCAACCTGAAACAGACGAGAAAAAAGCAAGAAGTTGAAACAGGCATAAGGCTGTGAATTCAGCTCGAATATAATTAATTGCTCGAAAATTGATTCAAATTTTAGCTTGGATCAAAATCGGATCAAAATAAACGGGTGGAGTTATGAGTCAAATATTTTTATCAATTTTTTTTTAGCCCATTTCGAGCTATACACTGACCGACTCGAATTGCCTCAAGATCAACGCAAATAGTTTTATTTATAAAAATTACACATAATGCTAAATAAAATCAAAGATAACAAGCTACAAGCGGATTTCGGGCTGGAATGGATCCAAATAACTCGGTTTGAGTCATCTTGTTTTGATTTTGAGCAAGATTGAGCCGATTTCGAGCTAGGACGGATCCAAATAACTCAAATTGAAGCCAGCTCATTTTGATTTCGAGCTGAGCTAGCTCGAAATCCAACATAACAAGCCACGAGCCGATTTTCATCCGAACTCAATCCATTCAAGCTGATTTCGAGCCGGCCCCAACTCGGCTTGAAATCAGCTCTTTAACAACCCTACCTAGGCTTACAGATAAAAAAGCCCTGAAGCCCTGAAACCCCCCTCTCTTTTCATGCATTACTTTAGCTAAATCTCATAAACCTGTCAAATACCCGGATTTAAGGCAAACAAGGTTAAAATGAGATTTAAAATTACAGGGAATTTATTTTTCCAATTTGACTGTTCGATAAAATCTAACATAAATCTTCCTTAAAAGCCCGTTAAATTCCATTACCAAATAGCCCCTTAATGTCTTCAAAGAGACTTGACTATGAATAAAATGAGCATCAGACGTGACATGGAACAATTAATCAACTGATGTTCTAGGCATAACAATACTAACATTAGTCAATAAAGATAAGAACTTGCGCCTCCACAAAATAAACTACTCCAATGTGATGGGAATTCAAATAAAAATAGTTTGCACTCAATAACAAACCTGAGCAAACACAAAAGGTCCTCCATCCCGCATTCGAAGTGCATCTCGTTCCATAACAGCCAAGTCAGCACCAACTGCTGTTGCAAGATCCGTCTTGTTTATAACCTCAAGATCATAAAATTAGTCCGGTTCAGTCTTGAAGCAGAAAAAAAGGAAAAAAAAAAACTTTAGAAGATGAGGCCAACAACAGGGCACTAGAAAAGTAAAGACAATATTGAATGAAGAATATGATGAAATTTGCTGAAACATACCAAAAGATCCGCTTGGGTTATTCCTGGGCCTCCTTTTCTAGGTATTTTATCACCACCAGAAACATCAATTATATATATAATATAATCTGCTAACTCTCTACTGAAATTAGCAGCCAAGTTATCTGCACAAGAATGGTATTCACATAAACATAAGGCACAGCTTAGTTAGGGGAACTATTTTCATGTTGTTTTCTAGAAATTTTTGTGGCGAGCTACTTTTTTCAATCTGACTCGTTAAAATACAGTGGCCGTAAGAAAGCTGATATCTTATTTTTTGAATAAATAAATATATATATATATATATATATAATTCCCACCGTAACTTTTTAAGAAGTTATTTTCTCCATCAAAATTATATAATAACATTTTAAAAAACTGCAGCCACCCCAAACAGATCCTAAGTTAAAGAAGAATGCATCTCGATGATGAAAAATTTTGAAACACCTATGCCAGCGTGAGGGAAAAAGCAAAATCACTATTGTGTCTAAAATGAAATAGGAGAAGCAGCACAAATACCTTCCCCCACATCGCAAACAAAATATGTTCATAAAACTCCACAAATTCTGCCCTAGAAATTTTTCTATGGAGGAGTAAACAATTGGATTTGATCAACTCATGCTGAAATATAAGTTCATGGAACCGGAAGAATACACAGTAGTGAGGTATCTTGAGAGACTGAGATCTATTAGTAATGATTTGAAGCTACAATCGTATCGATCCTTACTCAATGTACAGGCTTGAATTTCGAAGGTGGAGAAACAACCACCACTCCATGCGCTATTCCAGCCTTAGTTGTGTCAAAAAGAGATATTTGTTTATTATATTATAGCAGACTTTAGAAATGGTAAATGTGTTTCAAAGTTGCCTAGAATGAAAGAAAAAAATTTGTAGTAGAGTTGCCTCAAGCACAGCAAGGCAATCACCTTGTAGTATGTCAAGTCCAAAAGCTTCATGGGAATAAGACGAAGCTCCTCATACCCAGAGAGAATGACATGGGATGTGATCCTATAACAGATGTGGGAGATCCACGAGCCAGCTCCCTCGATCCCGAAATTATGGAGCTCCCGTGATCACAAGATTGGCAACAGCCCGATATCCCTATTTCAGCATATGTTTCTTTATTTTCTTCATTTATTGCCTAATTTCCTGATTTCTTATTTTCTAATTAAGTTTTTTTCCTATTAGTAGACTTTTATATACGTTGTATAGTGACTACTTGGATTTCAATTTTGCTGACTGTATGAACTTTAAGAGATTTCCTTTGATTTTTTGCTTTTTGAGTGTTATACCATCTTCATTTTGCAAGTAGTGTGTTTGTAGCTTGCCCTGGAATAGGTGGTGGGTTCCTATTGCTGTTCGCATTCGGATAGCCATCAAAATAGCTGCCATCTGCTGTTTGCAGCAGGAAAAGACAGCTGTTTTCAGCTTCCCGTTTCCAGCCATCCATACCCCTACAACTTTCCCAACTCCCTTTTGTATTCATTCACACTTTCTTGGAGCCATATAATGGTATCCCTGGCGCTTCTAAAGACTGGGTCTTTTTCTTGTATTCACGCCCAAAGCTCTTATTTAGAAGAAATAAACGAGTACACAAAAATGTAAGGATATCATTTTTCTCATTCTTTAAGGACAATTTACAAGCAGAACAATATGGTAAATCACTTTAATCGTCATCCAAATTCATGGAAAATAAATGTGACTTGTGATGTTGATTTTCACTTTGTTTAGACGGATGCTAGTGCTTCTGCAGGCTCGGTCTATTTTTTTGAATTCATGACCAGAACTATAGTTTGTCAGAAGAAATAAATGAGTGGCGGTGCGCACCTCCCCCTGATTCACAGAGTAGTAGGTCTGCCTTAAACAAGTTGGACAGCTCTTCAAGTGGTCCAAGATTAATGCTTATATCCTCACGTATAGCAGCATGAGGACAGCCTCCTGTCTCTACAGCACGAATCCTCTCCTCAGGAAGAGCTCCATTTTTCACCAAGAACTCCCCATCCTCTTTCGTGAATATATCATTTGTCACCTGGGAAAAAATGAAAGATTCATCAGCAATGAAATACAGTTTCCACTTGCGACTAATAAATTTCCATGCGTCAGCAATGCATATTGATACAAATTTAATAAATAAATCATGTGCCAGCCCACACCCACCCACACACACACACACACACACACACACACACACACACACACACACACACACACACACACACACACACACACACACACACACACACACACACACACACACTATATATATATATATATATATATATATAGAGAGAGAGAGAGAGAGAGAGAGAGGGGCAAGCAATGTGTCTTCGTTTTCACTCTGCTAGGGTTTCCGCTCATGGCAAAACTTAGCTCGAAACAGACGTCTGTTTTTTTCGCTCGTTTTGATCCTTTCTGTCTTTGTCTTCGTCAACGGCTTTGGCTGCCGGAGGAGCTCGTGTCATCTACGTCGTCTGCTTCGAGCCTGCCCCTCTATCGTGTTTCTGCGGGGCTTTGCGTTGCAATTCCGTTTTCAAGCTGCTCATCCGCTTCGTCAAGGCCGATAGACTGCTCCGCCACAGTTTTCTGTTATACCTGCTCAACTGCTTGCGTCGTTCGTAGGCATCAGTCGACAAACTGCGTCATTTGTTGTAGTGCTTGTGTGAAGCAAGCTAATGGTCTTAGGGTTTTCCTAAGCTGCCGCCGTCACCGGTGATAACCCCGCCAAACCCTCCTATGCTACAGTGGTTCACAAATGCAACTCTCTTTTCCATATCGCAGAAAGTCTGATATTCCCGCAGATGTACCATGATTCTGTTGTAGGACATGAAAATTGCAATCTCATAAAAAAAGTAGAGGAAAAAGCGGGCAAACCAGCAATTTTCTTCTCCGACGCTGAAATTTCAACTCGTGCAGAAAAATACAAATTTACACTAGTTGAAAAGTTCCAATTAGGTTGCCCTAAGATGAAGATTATCATAAAGGTTTTTGAAGATTTCAAACTGGTTGGGGATTGACAGGTGGGTCATTTCGACGGAAGATATATTATGATACAGCTGAGCATAGAAGAAGATTACAAAAGGATTTTCTCAAAGAAATTCATCACAAACCTATGAAATTGCTCAAATGAACCCTTAATTTTGATCCCAATAAAGAACCCCCAATTGCGTCTATCTGGTTCTCATTACCTGAACTCAAGCTTCAATTCTTTGACATACTTATCTTATATGCAATTGGGACTATTCTTGAAAAACCTTTACAGACAGTCTTACCTATAGTTCATTTATTAAGACCCTTTATTACAAGAATTTTAATTGAAAGAGATATTACACTACCAGATGTAGAAGAAGTCTAGTTTGGCTCTGCTCTGCTCATAATGGTTAGGTTATTGACAAAAAATCATTATGAAACAAAAACCTTACTACTGCAAGCACAGCAAGATGTTTGGACACTCGTAAGAGAAATGTTACAGATTGCACCCACAGTTGAGAACCAATAGTCAAAAGCAAAAACATGTTATTAGTGCACTCCACATGCCTGAACGCGCTCACAACAAACCTACTGACAGCTAACCTGAGGAGGGAATCACCAGAAGACTGGAGTTGGTGTCTGCCTCTGGGATCCCTTCTCCTGACCATATTACAACGGATAATGTTCGAACTGAAAATCAGGATAGCCCTGCAGCTATAGGTAAGACTGTCTGTAAAGGTTTTTCAAGAATAGTCACGAAGCATCAGGTGTAGAGGTGATAATTCACACTTCACATACATTGGAACCTATCGTTGTGGCAACGACTGCATTTCCTTTTAGTATGGTTCTAATATCTAATCAGACCGAGTATCACATGATCCTGTCTTCAGATAAAGAATTGCAAGTTCACACTTCTCAACTGAAGAAGAAGGCTAGGGGTACACTCCAACTTGAAAACTTAATGGATGATACTTTGGTTATTTCTGACAATGGCACGACTCTTCAAAGTTTGTTATCTGTCTTCGCTCTTAAAACTAGAGGAAGAGGCGAGACTAAACTGACTAGTACCTAGCTACTTTTTTTCTGCATGGTTTTAATTTGTTTTACTTTTTTATTAAGTCTATCTGTATCTTTTTGTTAGGGTATTACTGTAATTAGTATCATATGGGTATGATGTCTCTATTGAGCCCTCGCATACAACTTTTATGTATCATTTCTTTTTCAATAAAATCAGCCATTGAATTTTTCAATATATATATATATATATATATCTCACGACTGACGGAAGAGATGATGTCACCTCGTGGGACCCACCAAAGAAGAGTTGATCATCCCCTAAAGAATCTACTTGACCTTATCCATACGAACAAATCTATAGCCCTCCAACCAAGATTAGTGAAACAGACCATTCAGTTCCAGAGCAGATGACACCGGTCCTTAGCAAATGGCTGCCCGACCATACCTGTGGGCTACCCCTGGGCCATATTCATTCATAAACTAAAATACCCTAGTCGTACGTACGTAAGCTGGGGTTGCAATATGCAATTATACAGACCCCAATTCCTATAAATAGGGAGTTAATTTCATGAATAAATGCTATGCAAATTTACCGTTCGTTATTGTACTATTGCCCTCCTAGCTCTCTCTCTCTTCCTTTAAATCTCTATCCTTTAGGTGTGTCTCCCGAAGAGTTTTGGATTCTCAACAATATATGTATCTTTGTGTGTGTGTTTGTGTGTGTGTGATGCAATGTCTATTATATTATGCCATATAATCTACTGCAAACAAACGATTACACAAATTATAAAAAAATACTAGGTGAAAGTGGTATGTAATGAAAATAAGACTTATAGTAAGAGATCGATGATCATAATAAATCACCATATGATTATAAAGTTCATGCACTGAAAATGGTAGGCAATGAAAATAAGAATTATAATAAGAGATCGATGATCATAATAAATCACCATAGGAATTATAACTATTATGCATGCATTTACAGTCGATATCTGCATTAGGTTTAAAAAAATTCAATCACTCTCAGCAACCAATAAAACAAATATAAAAGAAGATGAAGAAAAATAGGATGGGTAAAAACTTAAATCAGTGGACTTGCACATGAATAAGGGCATGGCCTCCCAAAATAATTCGAGTCATTAACACTGCTAGCCTTATCACAACTATTTAGAGTTGGCACTGTTAATCCTCATGTTTTATTTTTTCCTGTTAAGTGTTGCCAGAGGCATTAAACAAATTCTTTGCAAATTATTTTGAACAACTTACATACATATAACCTTGGGTTGAACCTCTTGTCTTCTTAATCCACAAACAATAACTTTATTTACTAGTCTGAAGGCATAATTTCTATTTCGTCATACATGTTTAAATCATTTTAGTTTATTTCCAATCATCTTATCATCAATTAATATGACCCAAATAATTTCTCTAATATAATCATTCATAAATATATAATTCCCAATTTTACCATGCATCCATCTAAACATTCTTTAAACATTCATAAATTTAGTAATATTTATAATAAATTAAAGATTAAAGAGAGTAAAATATACATGTATAAACTAGTCAAACAAAAAAAAAAGAGATGTACATACCTAATTCAAGTGTACTAAGGATGAAAATTAAAAAATAATTTTCTTATATGAGAATATCAAACATAGATAAGTGAGATATTTTGATAAAATTTTTAGTGAAGTTATAAAATTACGATTGACGTTAGTGATCTTAATATCATAAATAATAACAAAAATTTTTATTTCTACTATTGCATTAGTAAAACAGAAGTTGATGATGTTTTAAAGAAAAAGAAGTCCAGAAAAGCAGTAGGACCTGATGATATTCTAATAGAAGTGTGAAAATGCTTTAAGAATTCAGAAATTTGTTGGTTATCTAAACATTTTAATATTATTTTAAAAGCTAAAGAATGTCTCATGAGTGAAATATCGATTTTGATTTTTAGGAATAAAGGTGATGCACAAGATTGTTGAGAGATTGCATATTATATAGAAATATAGTTAATGTGTCATACATTAAAGTTACTAAAGATTAATTGGATATAGGTTACAACGTGTTACAAAAATTTCTCAGAATTAATTTAGATTCATGTCAAACAAGTCTACTAAGGAGCTTATTTTATTGAGAGGTTTGATGAAAATAAGTATATAGAGAGAAAGGTGAATTTATATATGATTTTTGTTGGTTTAAAAAGAAACTTAGGATAAGGTTCCAAGAGGAGTACTTTGGAGGGTTTTAGAAAAAAAAAAGGTGTTGATATTTCTTATATTTAAGTCATTAAAGATGTGTATACTAAAATTATTACTCGAGTTCGAACACAAGGAGTATTAGCCCATATCTTTTTGCTTTAGGGTTTGAGGCAACTGCAGCTTTCTGAAGAAGCAGTTGTGAAACTGCTGCAGAAGAAAGTGTTTTTCAAATAATTGTGATAACTATTACAAAAATAAATTATTTTTAAAAAGTCAGACCGCATCTTTCTGAAAGCCACCATATCTCAACAGCTCAGATTGAAAAACAAAGTTTTCTACCACAAAAATTTCTAAAAAGCAGCAAGAAAGCAGTTCCCCAAACAGAACTGTGGTGGCAGTCCGAAAAGCAAAGCAGACAGAAAGCTATCCCAAACATAATCTTAGTTATGGATGTTCTTATTGGACATTTATAAAAGGATGTACATTAGTGTATCTTTTTCGCTAATGATATCCTTCTTATGGATAAGAATAAGGAAAAATTTATTGAAAAAGTTTAATTATGGAGGTCAATTTTAGACTCTAAAGGTTTTAGTTTTAGAAGATTTAAAACTGAATACATAAAATATAATTTTAGTGGCAGTAGATCTAGTGGCGGGATTGTAACAATAGGTGATCAAACCATTAAAAGGAATGAATGTTTTAGATATCTCGAGTCTTTTGTTCAAAGTGATGGTGATATAGATGAGAATATTATTAGTGAAATTCAAGTTGGATGGTTGAAGTGGAAGAATGCATTGGGTCTATTGTGAGAATGCATTTGAAGTGGAAGAATGCATTGGGT